AAATAAAGGAGAGTGTAAATCATGAGGGGCGCAGTTGGGAGAAAAAATCAAGAGGGGCACAGTTGGGTATTTCCCCATATTCTCACAATCCTCACATTGATTACTTGTACTTTTTCTCCCAATACCGATTGTCATATCTCTCTCGCTTTTGGATGCGATCATTTGGCCAGCTACATCTCTGGGGAACAACTCTCTAGACACTCCCCTCTCAAAAATAACGTTGTCATATATATGACATCAAGTTGCAAGCAAAATAGTGTCCAAGTAGCTTGATGCAGTCTTTCTAGGTGTGGTAGCAGGAGTCCCAACTTACACGAGATAGGTTGACAAGGTCATCTACCATTGTAATTAACAGGTGTTTTCCTATGGTCTCTGCATGTTTCTGTCTGCATTTACATAATTTTGTCATTTTATGTTAGTGGATGTCACAGTCATCATATTTTAGAAGTAAGCTACTGCATTGAAGGGTAGATAACTCTGATTATGATAATATGAATAGATTATATAGCTATAATTATAAAGAGATAGGTATGATACTAGTCCATTTTGAGCACAGGTGGGTATTTCCTGCATATTCTTACGTTGATTACCTGCACCTTTTTTCCCAATACCCATTGTCATATCTCTCATGCTTTTGGATGCGATCATTTGGCCATCATGTTTATCTGTGTTGCCCAGCTTCATCTATGGGGAACAACTCTCTAGACACTCCCCTCTAAAAAATAACCTTGTCCAATATACGATGTCATCAAGTTGTGAGCTCATGTTTGAATCTCCAGAAATGAGGTCATGATAGAACGATGTTTTATCGTGAAATAAACTACACTTCGTTCTGCATTGTTCTTTGCAATCTATCGCATAGCAATGTTATATTTTGAAGTAATGTGTAATCAGAACCACCACATTATATTGTAAGCACTTGTACTTTGAAAATGGATTACACGGTTATCACGTTTGTTAACTGTGATAGTCAAAAGGTATGAAGCTAAAGAATGATTGATTATAATTTTTCTTTTTCAGGTTATGCTTAATATATGAGTTTACAATAACATAGCAATATGTTTATACTATTTTAATGCTGAAATAAGTATCTTATAAATATTTACCTTCCAAGATGTAGATGCTGCAAATCAAACATGAACTTCTGTTCAAATTGAAATAAAGAAGATTGTCATGGTGACTTTAGTTTTGCAATAGTATGAATTTTCTAATTTGACTGCAGTTTCATGTTTAGTTATTTATTGATCTGACTCTCATATCTGCTTCTTATGTTAATAGTTATTTGAAATGTTAAAGTTTGTTACAAGTACATTGATTGAATCACTGACGTCATTTGATTTGACTGATCACCAGCATTTAATAGTATCACAAACCATTAATGATGAATTGATTAACATTTGAAACTGAAACTGAGTGATTGGTTATTTTTCAATTTAATATGAGTTCATTTGAAAGTCATTATTTGAGATAATGAGCACACACACACACAAACACACACACACACACACACACACACACACACACACACACACACACACACACACACACACACACACACACACACACACACACACACACACACACACAGGGAATACTCTAACACACACTTGGCCCCACAAAATGCAACATGGCTTTTCACCCCCTGTATCCAAGGATAAGTAGAGGAGCTATACCACAGTCCTATGGTACATCCATCCCTGCAGCTCTTGTCTGCTGTTGTTGGTACTTGCACACAGGCTATGTGGGAAAATGTCCAGCATGAGCTCATATCAAGCAATGATGATCGATTGTCACGCTCAATCTCTTTAATTTAGAGGGAAATGGGAAGAGTCAGCGAAACATGGCTTAAATAGGGATCACAGGAATTGTTCTTGATTGAGACTCTGTTTGACTTGCAAGAGAAGGCCGATCAAATACTTGCTTTGAAGGTTCTTGTCAAAGCCAAAAACTATTGGACTGATTTTCTCACTTTTGAGTGTTGTAATATAATTGAAAAAGACTACAAAGGCATTTCCCAAAGGTGCTTGATCTCCAACAGTCACTTCAGCATGTCACATTATTTTGTAGTCAACCTTTGCTGTCTCAGAGGGTATTTTTGTGTTAATTTGTATTATCATTTTCAAGAAGTGATAATATGCGCTATATATAATCCCAGCTCAACATCTCACAGAAGATGCTCTAGTTGTCAAGTTATGGATCACCAGTGTATTTGATGGTATGTAGGAATAACAAAACCCTACTCATGTATTTTCATCACTGATGGATTACATAGGTTGTGATGAAATCAATCTTTCCATCAGTTTGATATTTCAAAAACCATTTATTTGCCAGTGTCTGACAAGATCTCATGGGCTCTGAGCTATTACGTGACTGCATGCGTCTCCTGTGTACACCAGTGTTGGGGTAATTTCTCACACTAACCTTCTGGTTTGTCTGGCCCAGGTCAGATCACTATATAGAATGGGGGCTGTAACATAGACATCTGCATCCTGAGACACCTTTAACCCTCTTGCTCATATTTCATTGAAAATCTGTAGGATGACAAACAGAATTGTGTTGTTTAAGCCCCCTGTTGTGAAGGTGGTGCAACCAGGCAGTGATGACAGGCTGTAGTGTTGTACGGAATGTGAGATCCATGTTTGAAATGCAGTATCTTGCCTAACGGTGCACTCTTTCACCTAACTGAAATGTTTACTCAGTCATCTGGCGGAATGACAGCACTCTATATGACTTCAACGAAGACAGGAGGAAGTGCCTTTACTTTGTTGTATTGTCCCTGCAAAAGTAAATTCACATTTGATTTAAAAACATATATAATTCTACTGTGCTTACCATTACAAAATATGGAGATGGAATGATGAATTTTGTTTTCCCTCAGTTCCCCTCAGCAATGCCAAGATAAATGTGTATCTTTACCTCATCTATCCATGAGAGTTGGAAATAAAAAAAATAGAAAATTCAGAAACCATATTCAGTGGCCTATCTGGATGTGTGCATAGAAATTCAAAATCATCGCAACCTTTGTCTCAAGCTGTATGATGAGGGATGATTTGGGTTTTGTAATAATGAATTTCCCTTTCATATCTAGCAAAGTTTCTGACATCTACATTTCCCTTTTCTGACGTCTACATTTCCCTTCATATCAAGCAATGTAGCATCGGCTCCAGTTTCTGACGTCTACATTTCCCTTCATATCAAGCAATGTAGCATCGGCTCCAGTTTCTGACATCTACATTTCCCCTTCATATCAAGTAATGTAGCATCGGCCCAGTTTCTGACATCTACATTTCCCTTTTCTGACATCTACATTTCCCTTCATATCAAGCAATGTAGCATCGGCTCCAGTTTCTGATGTCTACATTTCCCTTCATATCAAGCAATGTAGCATCGGCTCCAGTTTCTGACATCTACATTTCCCTTCATATCAAGCAATGTAGCATCGGCTCCAGTTTCTGATGTCTACATTTCCCTTCATATCAAGCAATGTAGCATCGGCTCCAGTTTCTGACATCTACATTTCCCTTTTCTGACATCTACATTTCCCTTCATATCAAGCAATGTAGCATCGGCTCCAGTTTCTGATGTCTACATTTCCCTTCATATCAAGCAATGTAGCATCGGCTCCAGTTTCTGACATCTACATTTCCCTTCATATCAAGCAATGTAGCATCGGCTCCAGTTTCTGATGTCTACATTTCCCTTCATATCAAGCAATGTAGCATCGGCTCCAGTTTCTGACATCTACAATTCCCCTTCATATCCCTATACAATGACTCTTTTATGGAGTTTTCACACCTTACTCACTGTGTGGCAAGCTCAGTGGCATAGTTGATAATGTGGCATTGTACCCCAATGCTGTGGATCATTTCTCATAATAACAATCACTGGTTTGTTAGGTCAAGAATCATTTGTTCACCGTCAATACTGAGTGTGATGATAGGCTACAATAAAACAAACCCTTGCCTTTTGAATGAAAATTGGGTTTCATCACTATTTTGCCTGTTTCATCCTATGGAATCTGTTTCTGCAGATATTTGGTTCTAATCATTCTCTGGCGTTGATGTTGTTAGCTGTGACAGTTGTGTTGGATCTATTATGTGCTGTTGAAAGTCACTGTAATGGATTAAAATGTTACTGAGACTAATTTTGCCCAGTATGATATGGATAGTTAATGTGTATCTATGTGTTGCCAATTGATCCAAGGGAACTGAATGGGTCATTGGGGGACTAGTTTCATTTAGATTCTTGGGTATTAATGCTTCATGGAGCATTTATAGCGGATCTTGTGGAGAATTACAGTTTTGCAAATTGTATCAATTGACATGGACTGGGTAGAAGTCCATTAATTTTCTTCTGCTGACTCAATAAGGAAGTTAGTGTGAGGATATAACTCTCTGATGAAATCTTTCACTGCCTTGGTGCAGAAATACATTGACATTTTTTTACCAATTTTATGAATTGATTTCCTGAAAGCTGACTGGAAATTTCTTTAAACCACTTCAAACTACAGGCCTGGGAAATCAATAATTTGAAACGAAATCTTTACTTTAAGTTTTGTATTGAGAAATTAATTTCCATGTTTCCCAACATAATGAGAGATGACTCTCTGTAAATGAAGCCCTCTGGCGATAATGATGGTTTAATCTTCATGTCAGCCTCTTTAATTGAATGTGTTAGTCTAGACAGATAATTCACTATGTACAGCCATCTCACTCAAGAGTTTATATTTGACTTCTTGATCTCAATCATTGTGAAAGTGATAGCTCTTCTATGTGAAATATAATTTGACATTATTTGCTTTGTTACCATAACAGCCTATAGTGCAATTAGATTGCCTTGAACATAATTATGTGAGGGTTGTACTTTAATGATTTAATTAAACTGGTACTGTAAATATGTTATCCTGCATTCTTGCTAACTAGATCCTTGTTCTAAGACTATTTCTGACTTAGTATATTTGTTCCATCTCAATAATGATTATGTATGTATGTATTTTGCAGAGAGGTGGAGCCAGGAGTTAGCGGAATGTCCTCAGGCTCTGACAGTTCCAGTGATGGGAGTGACAGCAGTTCATCCTCGGAGGGGGAGACATCATCTTCTGAAGGGGAAGAGGAAGAGGAAGGAAAGAAGATGGAACAGGTGGAAGTGACGAGAGAGGAAGAGCAAACAGCCACACCAAAAGAGGTGACACAATACTTCTCTTGAGACATTCATGGCATTTCAAACACTATGGATAAACAAGAATTTAGATATTCATTGCATACTTTCGAATATTTTTGCACATGTGTCAAGCTATTCATGTCTCTTCTATTTGCTCCACCTGAATTATCATCTAATGCAAGATACATCCCAATTCAGTTCTTCTGAATACATGTATCTATCATTTTTGCATTGAAGAGATGTTACATGAGAACAAATGCCATAGAAGCAAACCTCAAGGACTCCCTTAGTTTCAAACGCTGATCATCATGTTAATAATGATGCTTCAAGGTCTTTTAGTGAACTGAGCCTCCAAACAGAACAGCAGAAACTGTTTGGCAATGTCCAGGAAGTTCTGCTAATGGATGTTACCTTTGTGGATGCAGTACAAAATTTCTAGGTGCTAATCAGCATATGCAATAAAAAAAATCCAATTCAATCAAATATTTGACATAAGGCTTTTATTTTTAACTCTGATTTTGTGATACTGTGATTTGTTGTTGAACATTTGTATGGAATGGTTGGTTATCATTATTTTATTTTACTGTTGTAGACACCTTCTTGGGGCTTAGGCAGCTTTTTAAGACAACTAAAGCAGTCGTCTCCTGAAGCTCCAATTCCTAAGAAGTCATCTGAGAAACAGAAAGAGATTGATGAAACCAATGATGAAATGCTTGATGAAATTTTGCACACCGCAATCACTTCACAGACACCTCTGAAAGACATTGGTCATGCATCCACGTTGCCCTTCCCCACAGACCATCTGGATCCAGACTTCAGTTCTGAGCGTCATCAGAATGGTGCAGATTCTGGTTGTGATTTGCCAGGTAACAATGACAGGACTAACACCAGTCTGGGGAGCCTTGGTTCTCCTGACACTGCCAGTACATGTAGCAGCACCAGCTCAAAACCTTCCAGTGGAAAACCTGAAAAGAAAGGGCGAGGTAGGCCCAGTCTTAGTTCCATGTCTGATAGTTTGCATAGGACGTCTAAATCTGAGGGTTCTGATTTATCCAGTTCTCTCAGTAAAAGCAATAGTGGTGCAAGCAAATCTAGAAATACACCCAAGAAAGACTCAAAGAGAGACAAACCTAAATCAGCTCATGATGAAAAGAAACGAAGGAAAACTGATTTCAAATCTAAACCAACAATATCTGACAGTGATGATTCTGAGATAGATGTTGTCACTGTTACTCCAGGCAAAGTTCCTGCAACAATGGCCAATTCTATTGTTGATGAAGATAAAGACAAAAGTTGCAACAACTTATTTTCCTCCCCTAAGGCGAGTAAAACATCTCCTGTTAAAGTTCCTGTTTCTCAAGAAAAGGAGGAAAAAGACAATAAAAGTGTATCCAAAGTTAAAGAAGTTAAACATAAACCATCAAGTCATCGTAAGAAAGAACGTGATAAGGACAAAGATAAAAATGATAATAATAATGAACGTAACCGAAAGAAGGAGCACAAAAATGTGTCTTCATCACCACCAGTGTCCGATTCCAAAGTGGACGTGCATAGTGAGAAACATGTTGATGCCATCATTGAGACCACAAATGAGTTCAAACCCCCATGTTTACTTTCCCCCTTTGCATCCCCAACCAAGACCCCCATTGCCCCATTGCTGTCCCCCTTACCAATCCCACCCCAACCTTCTTGCCCCCAGTTGACTTTCTCCAATGGAAAGCCGGCCATTATGGTGGAGATTAACCTTTCTTTATTGGATCATATTCCTTCCAGTGCTAATTCACTAAGTGCTTCAGCTCCATCTTTACTCAAATTGGAAAACAAAAGTTCAGATTTTTCAGAAACCGATAAGAAAAGTTCTAATGTTGGAGCCAAATACGCTGATTTATCTCATAAAAATGCTGATATTAATCCAAAGAGTGCTGATGTGACACCAAAAAGTGCTGACAATTCGCAAAAGGGAGTTGATATTTCTGAAAAATGTGCAAAAAGTACCGAAAAGAGTACAGCAAGGAGTGTGGAAAAAAGTACAAAAATTGTGGCGAAAAGTGCATATAGTGTGGATAAAAGTGCAAATAGTGTTGAAAGGAGTGCAAATAATATAGATAAGAATGCAAATGCATCATCACCGGGATATAAAGAAGAGGATATGTGTGATGGCACTAAGGATAATGATTCCCAGGTGACACTGGATAAGATATCACGGTCCCACAAACGGAAAGGTGACAGTGAGCGACAGGAGAGTACTGGTAGCAAAAGACACAAATCCACTTCCAAATCCAGCAAGAAGTCCTCATCAGAAGACCTTCAGTAAGTACTGTTGTCAGATGAAGTTATTGATGATTTTGTTTGGGATTTGGTATGGATTAAATCATGAACAGAATGCACATATTATCATCAGGATTTGCAATCATTTCTATTGCTAATAATTGGAACATTGTTTAGAGCTGTAGGGGTTTTAAATATATAGCAAGGAAGTCTTAATTACTCTTTTTATTTGAGAAATAAATGACTCGTGGTCCTTGTTTGTCTTACAATAAAATACTGCAGGGAGAATAAACCATGAGGGGCGAATGGTTTATTCTCCATGCAGTGTTTTATTGTACGATAAACAATGACCAGGAGTCGTTTACTCCTTATATTGGATCTCAACATTATGTACAGCCTGTTTATGGATGATTATAAAATGTGCAGGCTTTAAAATATTTACCCGTATTTAAATAATGATGACTCCCTCAATAGAATCCGACCTGGGCAATGTCGGACAATTCCATTTTATGCACAGGTGGGTATTTTCCGCATTTTCCCACAAGCCTCACGGTGATTACCTGTACTTTTTCTCCCAATACCGATTGTCATATCTCTCACACTTTGGGAAGCGATTGTTCGGCAATCTCGTTGATCTGCGTTGACCAGCTACATCTCTGGGGAACAACTCTCTAGACACTCCCCTCTCAAAAATAACGTTGTCATATATATGACATCAAGTTGCAAGCAAAATAGTGTCCAAGTAGCTTGATGCAGTCTTTCTAGGTGTGGTAGCAGGAGTCCCAACTTACACGAGATAGGTTGACAAGGTCATCTACCATTGTAATTAACAGGTGTTTTCCTATGGTCTCTGCATGTTTCTGTCTGCATTTACATAATTTTGTCATTTTATGTTAGTGGATGTCACAGTCATCATATTTTAGAAGTAAGCTACTGCATTGAAGGGTAGATAACTCTGATTATGATAATATAAATAGACTACATAGGTATAATTATAAACAGACAGATATGTGTTCATATCACATTCTTCATATATATTTGTTATATTTTTGTGTGTGTTTTGTGTATCCCATGTATGTGTTGACAGTATGTGAAAGAATGAATATATGTGGAGGAACAATGTCTGAAGAGAGAGAATAGGTCTGGTCACGATCTCAAATGAGTTCGAAAATTGGTGTTGTACATTCATTTTTTTTTAGAGTTATGGTACTTGCTCCAGTTTTTTAACTTAGTGCAGTGTGTGAAATGGGGACAACTTTTCTCAGAAACTACTGAAGTTACATAAATGAAGGTTTACATTCTTATCTAAGAGATACTTGTCAAGACAGAGTTCGAAAATTGGTCTTGTAAATTATTTGTATGCAGAGTTACGGCCCTTGATCCATGTTATTTCCCTTTGTGCATAGTGTTTGCAAATGGGTCAAGTTTTCTCAGAAACAATGAAAGTAGGTTATGTAAAAGGTACTTATCAAGACTGAGTTATTTTTTCTTGAGAAGGGACCTTTTAGTGTATTAATTTCACATTTCGTCAATTTTTTCGGTTCACTCACAATTGTTAGACATCCCATTTGTCAGACGACCCAATCAGACAGACCAGTCAAGTGTGACCAGTGTAACTGCCTCGTCTTACCTTCTAATTGATGAGATATGCTCCCAACTGTGGGCAACTTGTTAAGTGATGCAGATTAACCAAATTAACCAGATATGACTTGATCATTAAAAATGCATAATAAATATATCCTGTAAATTCCTAAAAATGTGTGTTTTCTGGTCTGTTCCACTCAATGAAAGGTAAACAGGTAGCTATTGCTTGACTTACCAACCTTTACTAATCCTGGTATAAGCTGTCTGACATCTGGGACGTCTGACAGGTTACAAATTTTTCTGATGACGTAAAGCAGCCCAAGTGGCTATCTCTTTTTAAGGCTTTATAGGACTTTTTTTTAATAGTTTAGATTCACTACTATATGAACAAACAAAATTCTGAGATAGTGATAATGTTGTTTTCTTGTTTGTCTTCTTTACAGAAAGTATGCTTTGTTTCAGGACAGTAGTCATAGTCAAAAGTCAAAATTAGTTTATTTGTGTGTAGACCTTTGGCCCATATACAAGAAATGCAATGTGAAACACATTACATGGATTTTACAACATCATGTCTTTTTTTGTATGCATTATATACATAATATTGTAGATGTTTTAATAACTCAACCTGAGTTGTACACAACAAACTTTTGAATTTATGTAAAGTTGGAAATTTCAAATACAAATACTTTACGCAGTTCTATATAATGTTTACTGATCAATACGAAATGATATTCACCTTCAACAGACATTGCAAACAGGAAACATGTAAACATGATTCAATAGATTGCCATCTACCCTCGTTCTGTCGGAAAGGTAAAACATTACATCTTAATTTAATAAAAACTCTGCGTATTACGGTATATGTTTGCTATTGTAAATGCTCAAATATCTTTCAGGTTGAAACAATGTTTGATATTCTTTATACATCACATATCGGGTACTACTGTTGAGTGTTGACATCCAGTTTTGACGAAATAGTCAAACAGCCTTGATGTTAAATTGGCAGGATATATTATGCTCTTTTAAAATATAACTACCATTTTATGCTGCACCGTAACATGTAGTGACAAGGACAGGCCCAAATGGTAATATGCAAACATTACTTCCATTGAGCCGATCTCTTGAATCATTCTAAAGCTGTCTGCATTGCCTAGCATGTCAGTTTAGCTCATTTTGTGGGGCACTGATGATTTTACCAGAATGATGAACGTCTTTTGGTAATTTGTTATGAGTCCAGGGTTTGCATAGATTTGAAAAGTTGTGAGGTTACGCCTCAATCAGAATGTTGAGATTGTGTAACAAAGCTTTTTGTGTAAAGTGCTTAAAGTTCATGATGACCAAACTTTCATTTGTGAGCCAAGTAAATAGTAGTGGAAAAGGTACTAGGTTTTCCCCTTTACAGATGCATGGACTGAATTTGGAAGGTTTAAACATTACCAGCATTACCAGATTCTTTAATAATATAAGTAATCCAGAACTAGGCTGGCATGGATTCCTTTTACTTTGAAATGTATTTGAGTTTTTGTCTCCCATGGGAACTCCTGTAATAACAACATAGAAAACCTTTGAAAACATTTCAACACTTCCATCAAGAGTCATATCAAGTATTGTTTCCTTTGAGGTACTATTTGAAAAAGGATCCCCATGGTAAGGAGACTTCAACATCTGATAAAATCCCATGGGTGATAGTTTTGGAAAGTTTATTTATTCAGTCATCATTTCAGTCTCTCTTGCTTTAGTCACTAAGTCCTGTTTCACAGAGAATGTGTAGCAGAATTGAGTTTGTTGTCTTTTTAGTGAGCTGATAAACAAAGCTTTCATGTATGTTATCTTTTGTTCGTAGTGTTGTCATTCATTGATTAAAATGCATAGAGTGATCTGATGCAGAAGTGTTCACCAGTCACGAATATTTATGATTTAGATCATGTGTGTAAGTATATGTTGGGACTTCTCTTTGAATAATAGCTATTAATCATAGGGTTTTTGTCCAAGCCCAGAACAATGTTTTTTTTCAGAAAGAACTCTTACATATCACTCAAAACAACATGTGAGTCATAATTATTTGGGGGCAGAACATGCAGATTTGTGCCCTTAGCCTTCTCAGGATCCACTGAATGTTGGTTTGAATCCTACATTTACCTTTAGCCTACGGAATCTTTTGCACACTTCTTACCCCCACCTGCTGGATATGTTTTAACATATGGCACTGGCAGCTTTATAAACGTTATGAATGAACCAATATTTTGCACATTTATTCCTGATAGAAAAATAGTGAGTATGGTTTTACGCCGCTTTTAGCAATATTTCCAGCAATATCACAGCGGGTGACACTAGAAATTTGGAAAGTTTCTTGAACTTGCAGGAATTACTTCATTGAATGTGGATTTTTCCCTCAAACAAAACACTGTTTAGATTTGTTGGACAGTCCAGCTTTAGAAATTGGCACTAGTCCTGTAGTCCTTACCAAACTGCCCAATAGTAAAGGTATCCTAAGGACTAGTAGAAATTAGCCCATTTTAAGGGTTTTGCTATATGTTATCATTATAAGGACTAGAGGACAAAAACTGTTAGTTTCTAACCCTGCAGTCTCCCTTATAATATGTTTACCAGTGAAGACAACCACAACTTCTACCAAGGTCAATCAATAGTAAACACAGGTGAAGATGATAAAATAGTTAACATGGTAATTATGTTAGGTCTTTTGAATTTGGCAGGGTTTGAATCTATTCTGGAATTTTCTCGTGTAAATTACCAACTTTTGCATATTTTCCCTCGATGTGTGCAGTGTTGTGCATGCTTCTGGTTTCAGCAATAATGGAGAAAATTGCAAATAACTGATTATTATTCTTGATCTGCATTCTAGAAAAATATGTTTGATATAAAAAAAAAGATTGTAATAATATTATGTTATAACAATGCTGTTGCCATGATCATGATGATTTTGTCCTTTTCATCCAATCGATGATGTAATGATTCAGATTGTTTTTGTTTAGAATTAAGTCAGCTGAAAGTTGCTATTTTTTAGAAATTAGGGAACTAGAATGGGATTTTTCATACTAACAAACAAAGTATGATCAAATGAAACAGATGTTCACATTATGAAGAAAATCTCCATTCAACATGTACGTACCTCAAGTCAACAATGTCTGTTACAGGTGGTTGGTATTGACAATATTTTTTAACATGTGGGAATTTCATTTTGAGGAACATAAACTACTTAAAGGGGCACTGATCTAACGCAATTCCCCGGGACTGGTCGTTGCCTTTGTTATTGTTTTTTCCCAGTGAGAACCCGGATGTATAGCAGAAATCTAGACTAGTTCGCGACCTCTGCTGCGCAATTCGTAAGCGCATCAGTCACTTTTATGGGTAGTAATAAGGGCGTATGGTCACATTGATCAACAAAATGAAATACAGTTTTCGAGATAATAGGGAAATGTAGGTATCTTTGTGGGTAG